CTAACATTATTCGCAGATGATATGATTTTATACACCGAAAATCCCCTAAACTCCACAAGTGGAATAATAGAAGTGATAGAGGAATATGGCACAGTGCCAGGATCCAAGATCAACAAACAGAAGTCTATTGAACTGCTATACATATCAAAGAAGATCACAGAAGAGATAATTAAAAAGGTAGTACCCTTTACAATAGCCAAGGACAAATTGAAATATTTAGGGATATACCTGACTAAATAAACCAAAAGATTTGTATGAGGAAAACTATAGAACACAATTACAAGAAACCAAGAATGACCTCAACAAATGGAAGAATGTTCCATGCTCATGGATGAGAAGACTCAATATAGTAAAAATGTCAGTTCTGCCCAAGGCATTATATAAGTTTAATACTATCCCAATATGAATACCATCATCCTTCTTCAAAGAATTGGAAAAACTGATTACCAACTTCATATGGGGAGGGAAGAAGCACAGAATTAGCAGAGAATCCTCAAGAAGAAGGACAAAGTGGGAGGACTAGCTCTACCTGACTTTAGCACATATTATATGGCCACAGTGGTCAAAACAGTGCGGTACTGGTATAACGACAGATATTCAGACCAGTGGAAAAGAGCTGAAGACTCATAATTAAAAACATTAGCATTCAGGCAACTGATTTTTGATAAGGGCCCCCAAAATATCAAGTGGGAAGCAAATGCTCTCTTCAATAAGTGGGGCTGGAAAAAATGGATATCTACCTGCAGAAAAATGAAGCAAGACACTTGCCTTACTCCATACACAAGAATAAACTCAAGGTGGAACACAGACCTTGAGGTAAAACTCTAAACTAGTAGGGCCATTAACGAGGGAATCAGGACAAACCTGAGAACTTTGGCACAGGGAATACATAAGCAATCAGTAAAAGGGAATAATACAAATACAGAGGAGTCACAAACTGACAAGTGGGATATACTGAAGATAAAACACTTGTGTACATTTAAAGAATTTACCAACAGAGTAATAAGAGAACCCACAGACTGTGAAAACATCTTCAGCAATAGCATATCAGAAAAAGGCCTATTACTAAAGTCTACAATACTTTGCAAGCTTACAATCAGAAAAAAACTAATTTCCCACTGAGGAGGTGGGAAAAGGACCTGAACAAAAGTTTCACCGGACCAGAAATCTGAATGGCCAATAAACATATGAGAAAATGTTCCCAATCATTATCCATAAGAGAAATGCAAATTAAGATAACTATGAGATACCACCTAACACCCTCAAAGATAGCCCAATTAAAAAAGTCAGAAAGTAACAAGTGTTGGAGAGGTTGTGGGGAGTTAGGAACTCTCGTCCAATGCTGGTGAACCTGTCGGTATGTACAGCCATTATGGAAATCAATTTTGCAATATCTAAAACAGATGGAGATTGAGCTACCATACGACCCAGCAATCCCCCTACTGGGCATATACCCAGAAGAGGCAAGAAACAAACCACGGCCAGACATCTGTGCTCCAATGTTCATTGTAGCACAGTTCACAATTGCAAGCAGTTGGAAACAACCCAAATTTCCATCAACAGATGAATGGATCAAAAAACTGTGGTACATACATACAATGGAATACTACATGTACCTAAAATGCAGCAATGAACACATGAAGCACATTACCACATGGGAAGAACTGGAGGCAATTATGCTAAGTGAATTAAGTCAAGCACAAAAGGACAAGTACAACATGAGTCTAATGAGGTAAGCTTAAAAAAAAAGAAGAAAAAGAAAAACGGGGCATAGGGGAAAAGTTACTATATACATATTTCCCTGGGGTGAGGTCCAAGAAATATGGCAGGGGAAAAACCCAATCCAAGGGATACATACGGCAGCCAACTAAATAATAGGGGGAAAGAGAGAGAGAGAAAAAGTTGCGGGGGGAGCAGGGCACTAATCCACCCAAGGGGAGGGTATTGTTTATATCTCCACAGGAGAGAGAGAGAGAGACCAGGCTTCAACCTGATGTGCCAAGACGTGTCTACAACATCCCGGCATGTACCCAGGAACCAATAGAGAGGTCTGCGGGTCCGCTGGGGCTACAGCTTGGAGAGAGGGATGCATCGGATTAGAGTACACAGGGGAAATGCAAAGGGATGGACAGGGAGGAGAAGACATCCTGGGCCACCAAGCCCCAAGGACGATGTTCCCGCTCAAAGCAGACAACACACTGGGAGGACTGTAGGGTTGACCCCACCATGGGACACGGCATCCCTCACTAAACCATGATACTGCGGGGGACAGCACTAGAGACAGTGCGGAAATAGTGCACGGTCTGGCCCCAGCACCCTGGTGGGGAGGGGGGGCGCGGGATGCAGCAGAGCAACAGGGGGAGCAGAGTGATGAAATCCCTGGGGAATACCAAAAATAGACTGTGGAGAAAAAGTGTGGCACCCCATCAGACTCAACTGGAAAACACTCGTAAACCCAACAAATGGATCTTGAACTATTTATAGGTTTTTCCATTTTTGTCAGTGGCTTTCTTTTGGTTATTGTTATTTTGTTTTTGGCTTTTGCTATTATTGTTTTGCTGGTTTTGACTTCCTTTGTTGTTTTATTTGGTTTTTGCACTTATTGATGTAGCTGCGTGTCTATCTAGATAAGATAGGCAGGATAAATACTTCAGAGATGAAAAGAACATGACCAGTGGTTCAAAGGGGTGGTGTGTGGGAGAAAGGGAGGTGGGATAGGGGAAGTGGGAGAGGGGAGATGGGGAGGACAGGGAACAACATGTGAACAACTCAGAGACAGGGGAACAACATGTGAACTAAAATCAATGAAAGAAAGGTTGTAGGATGCCTAGTGGGGTTCAATCAAGGGCAATGTAGTAGTGAGGAATTACTAAACCAGAATGAAGCCTGAACATGATGGTGGGACTAGAGGGAAGTAAAAAGGAAATAGAGGAAAGAACCAGGAATCAAGGGACATTTATAGAGGCCTAAATACAGGCATGCACATATGTAAATATATATATATATAACAAGAGGGGAATAGAACTATGTATTCATATCTATATGTTAAGAATTAAGGTTGCAGATGGACATTGGGCTTCAACTCAAGTAATGTCTCAACACAAGAACACTTTGTTCTAACAAATGGCATTCTGTGATGCTCACCTTCCCTGACACTATCACTGAAGACAAAATGGGTGCATGGGCAAATATGGTAAAGAAAGCTGATGGTGCCCGGCTATCAAAATATAAAACATCTGGGGTTTTAAAGACAAAGATAAACAAGCGGCCATCTAGCTGAGAATCAACAAATCCCACATGGAAGAAGCACACCAGCCTGTGTGATCATGAGGTGTCAATGGAATCAGGTATCAGGCGTCTAAGACCCAGAACAAAATCATACCCAATGTGAAGGGGGGAGGGGCATGGAGTGGAGACCCACAGCCCATCTGCAAACAATTGGACATCCCCTCACAGAGGGGTCACAGGGAAGAGATGAACCAGTCAGGGTGCAGTATAGCACTGATGAAACACACAGCTTTCCTTCCTCTAGTTCTGTGGTGCTTCCTTCACTGCACTATCATGACCTCAATTCTACCTTACAAATCAAATTAGACCTGAGCATGCATACTGCTACAGAAAAGAGCTCAAAACACAGGGAATCCAGGATAGATAAACCCCTCAGGGCCAACAAGGAGAGTAGAGATACCAGAAGGATTAGAGGAGGGTGGGGGGAGAAAGGAAGAATTAAAAATGTGCTGAAAAACTCAGCTTATGCATGAGTATATAGGGTAAGTCTCTCTGAAATAATCATGATTTAAAAAAATATATTATCTTGAGATGTTTTATATTAACTATGGAATAGGATATTAGTGTAATATTCTGAGTCTTTTTTTTCTCCCTAAAATTTTTTTTGCACTTGCTATCTGCCATATAACAAACATTGTTCTTTGGAGAAGCAAAACTATCTATAATTTTCTTGAATTTATTTTCCATTTGGAAAAAAATTAATTAAGCAATGGGAGAACTTATCAAATTTAGAATGAAGATGTTGGAACTTTTTCCAGCTTGCTTGTGATTTCTCGGACATTTTTTCCTCCTTTTCTTCATTTTAAAACTTAGAGAGCATTTATAATAAATATGCATAATGCCACCATCCTTCCCAGATGCAAATCATTTCACTTTTTTTTTTTTAAATAGAGAAAAAAAGTCTCACTGCTTTAAGTGTAGTTGCAGCTCTGGAACCCAGACTAGAACTCTGAGAGGCGTTAGAATGATATAGGCAAGCCTTTCGTTTATAGCTCTCCTGGGCTCCAAATACTAATCAGTATTTCAGTAGCTGAAAATTATTGTCTTTATGATGTATGCCATGCCATTTATTCTTAATTTGTCTCTGTGAACTCGCATCCCCTGTACAGTTTGGTCTTAAAGAAATGTTTAGTTCAAACAAAAATCACAAATATCTTCAGGTATATAAAAAACTCAATTTTAAAATATAGATCTGAAATAATCACCAATTTTGAAAACAATGATGTTGCAAAATAAATGTAGAAAATACAACTCTGAAAACATTTAGGTTAGATTCATACGCTATCCACTATACAACACATGCTTTATTATCAACAATGAAGAGGCAATTGCTTTTCTTCCTTTTTCAATGAGGATCAGCCCCTGTAAAAGGACACCATGCGTGGTAAAGTAGAGGGGCACCCAGAAAGAGGAAGGCTCTCAATGAGATAGATTGACACAGTAGCTGCACAGTGAGCTCAAACACAAAATCATTTGTGAGGATGGCTCAGGACCCGGCAGAGGTTCACTCTGCCATAGAGAGATGAGTTGGGGCCAACTTGAGGGCCCTAACAAACACCACCGCCCTCACACTTTTAATGGCATGAACAATGATAAGTAGTCCCGTGTCACCTTTGTCAGTGATATTGCAGGCAGATCTTCATTAAAAAGTCACCATGTACATGATGAAGGGCATTTTCTTATGTTATAATTAAAACAAATGACAAAGATGATCACAACACCTTTCTTTTCACTATTGGAAATAAAATAGAGCAAGGGAATGTTCAAAGGAATTCCACAAAAACAGAAACCATTGACATGACAAAAGCATGCATTTAATTTGATGCGTTGCAGAGATACATGACTAAAGTTGTGTGCGTGGCTTGTCCTTTGGGATGGTCCCAGCTGTTTATTTTAAAAGAAAAGATAAAAGTGGAGCCAACAAATGCAATTAAGAAAAATCATAAAAACTTTGAGACACAAGGGGTCCTACATGTTCTCATCTAAGAAACATGCTAGTATTACAAAACATTCCAGATACAGTATGACAAATGAACATGGAAAAGGCACTGGAACAATGCTCTTTCTCTCAGAAACAGGAAGTCTAACAGTCATATTTTCACAACTGGTATTGATGAAACCATCTTTATTTGTAAAGAATTTTGTAGAAGGAACTTTAGCACCATCATTAAAGGAAAATAATAATAATAATAATAATTTTTAGCCCTGCTTATCTCCAGTATTGTAATAATAATAGAATCATAGCACCTTTTAGTAACTATTATAAAAACAAGAATAGTAAGTTCATCCCAGCTTCTAGAGATGAGGTAGCTCATGCTAAGAAATTGTGGGTCATTTTAGTCTGTGAAAATTCAGAGTCTATATGGTCTCATTCTTATGTTTGCTTAGAGTCAGTGCCACACCTCTAAGCCGGTAATACTTTTTCTCCTTTATAGGCATGATGATGAGAGAGTACATGTGGAGTAGTCTCAATTTTTGGTCCTGAATCTATAGTTATAAATTTTTTTGTGTAAATTATTTGGATTCTATGTCTTCTTAATCAAGAAACTATAATTGTATTCAATGATATATATGTGTAACTTCTATCTATACTGATAGATTGAGTCAAGAAGGAAAAGGTACCTTTACATTTGAATGAGAAAGAAGACTAAATTGAATTCACAAATATTTAAGAAATTCAAATTATTTCACTTTCTTCTCCAGAAATTTCACGTTACCAAAATATTCCCTGTAAGACCATGAGAATCTGATGTAGTAATTTTCTAGAAGATTCTCTTTAAAGAATCTCGATCAGGTATACAATATTGTATCTCCCATCCATGTGGGCTTTACTCACAAGCTTAAACATTTTCATTTCACTGATCATCTGGGAGTAAGTGGTCAAAGAGGTACCACTTTCTATTTCTCAAACTGCAGCCAAGCAAAATACGCATGTGTTGTGGTTTTTTTGTGCCCCACTCTGTAAGCTACCTGCCAGGAGGAAGGATTTCCTCATAAACACTAAGCAACTTGTGCATTATGTTGAAATAAATGGAAGAAAACAGAGATTTATTTATTCAATCAGTTTACTTTTGTTCTTAAAAGGGGGTCGTTTTCATTGGTCATCTTAAACCTAAACTTCTGTATTGAAAAAATATTTTAGATCACTTAAAACTTGAGGACTGTAAGTAAAATAAATATTCTGAAGGAAAAGGAGGCCAGGCACTTAAGATCATATGTACAATGCTGACTCAGAATCAGCCATTACTTCAAGAGTCTCAGGATCAACTTCGAACAGTCAAAGTTCTGGTGAATGGTGGTGGTCACTGATGGTGGTGGTGGTGGTCGTCGGCGCCATTGTTGATGTATCTCGGTTGCTTTACACAAAACAAACTGGCCCAACTTCGACGCCAAATTCCTGATCTGTGCCGCCGACATCCACAGGAGCAAGATCAATGATGGGCAAGCGTGCCACATTTTGTGTTCTATATTCAAAGATAGTCTTGCCCACAATTCCATTTCGTTTCTAGAATGTAATTGTGCAAAGGGTTAATGGTGTGTTCAAACGTTAAGCAAGGTGTTAGATAGCAACATCCCAGCCAATATGGGCAACAAGAAAGCAGTGCTCTGTAGAGCCTCGCTTCAACTCAAGAGAGCATTTCTTTCACATTCTAAGTTGAGAACATGCCTTTTATTATTTTGTAGCTTCCCAAATTGTCACTAAGAACATAAAAATCTGTCTTTTTTTTTTTTTTTTTTTTCACAAAAAGAATGGTAGTGCATTGTTTGGTATTTTTCCTCTTTCTAAATCTAGATATTTGCAAGTGGAAGACAGGAGAGAGAGAAAAAAATATTTAGATAGATTATGTGTCTTTGGGTCAAGCTATTTTAAAGCACATACTATGACCACATAAGGAATTTAAGGGTAAGAGAACCATTTGAGTTTACAGAACAGGATTGGCCCCCGGGATTCTGCCCGTTCTTCATTGTTCTGTGTTCGAAACTCTTACACACTTCATACATAATGCTCATTCATGCTTACACTAAAGAACAACTAAAAACACACTGCTGCGGTGCTTGCCCACAGTGTAATATTCCCCACCTCAACGGTCATGGCAGTATTTTGAACAAAAACAAATTCTGTCTTCACCTAGATCAGTGGTTCTCAACCTTCCTAATGCCGTGACCCTTTAATACAGTTTCTCATGTTGTGGTGACCCTCTCACTGTTATGAACCAGGTGACCCCTGTGAATGGGTTGTTCGACTCCCAAAGGTGTCGCAACCCACAGGTTGAGAACCGCTGAACTAGATGGATTCAGATCAAAGAATACTTACAGAGCACGTATCTTGGAGAACTGTGTATCTGAATCTAATGTTGCCCTCTCCTTTGATTTCTAAGTCATTAGCCCCTTTGAGGATCACAGCTTTCTTAAGGTTCTTCGCTTGATCATCCATGTATCCTATGCTGTTTTTACATATGTACGTGATGTTTTGTGAAGCTTCTTTTGACAAGAGGCGAAGGAAGGTCATTTGAGTAATGGCTGCATTTGGTGACTGGTGTTCTCCATAAACAAACTAGAAAAACAAAATGAGTTTTTGTTACATGCCTTATTGAAGGGCTTTTAATCCCTTCAATATATATATGTTAATAAAGAATCTTAACATTTCTATACATATGCACAGTTAAAAAACTTTTTCCTTACTACCAATAAGAGGTGAAGAAGTGAATAATCATTACAATTGGCCAAAGAAAGCTTAAATATTTTCAAATCTATTTTTCTATTTGTTTAAGAAAACCTTGAATATTATTTGCATTTTAAGTTACATATTTGAGCATTAGTGTGGATGTTCAAGTGCATCAAAAACAACTGAAGATTTGTACTGCTAATTGTTAAAAAGAAAAAAACCCAAATCTCACTGCCATTCAGTCTGTTCTAACTCATAGTGATCCTCTATGTCACAGTATAACTATCTGCGGTAGTTACATAATCTGGTGTCAATTTGGGACTTGAGAGGATTAAGAGTGAAGGGGTGGAGTCTAGTCTGTCAATCCAATTATAACCAGTGAGGTCTCTGTGTGGGCATGGCTTTCTCCTGAGAATTCTGGGAAATCTGAGTTTTCCTCGTTGGAGGCAGGAGACATCTTTCTCTCTCAGCTCACTTCCTTGGAGACTTTCTACTGCAAGGCTGACTCCCTGTGAGACATCCCTGAGGAGAAGCCACATGGACCTACCCTGATGCAGGCAGAACCCTAAACCTAGAGGAGCCATATGGAGACCACTGCCAGCACCGAGATGCTTACAATGCCACTGGATCTACAAGACTTCCCACCCACTGGCCTGTGATCTTTCTGCATTCAGCATCATTGCATGTGTTTTGTGAGTCTGAAGAGGACTTTATAGATTGGTGTCAGACATATGGGCTAATAATATCAGACTTATGAACTTGATCTGGACTTGGCTGATATGTTTTCTCAATTTGTATATAAACCTCTCCTTTATACAATATGAATCTCTGTGAATTTGCTTCTCTAGTCTACCCCGACTAACACACTGCCTATGTGAGTTTCTGAGACTTTAACTATTTACTGGAGTAGAAAGTCTATGTTTCTCCTACAGAGCATCTGGTGGTTTCAAACTAAATGCTTGCTTTTGGCAGTGCAACACTGTACCACTGTGCAACTAGGGTTTCTAGCTAATTATAAGAATCAGAAAGTACTGATGTGAAATATTTACACCAAAATGCTATATATAGGGTAAAAGTTCTCAGAAAAATGGAAATGAAACATAATAAAATTTTTCTGTAAACTTTTCTTTTTTAAGACCTTTTGTACTCATAGAAAATATGAATTATTCATTTTTATTGGCCAGCAAAATTTCAAATGAAATATAATACCCCAAAGATTCTTTCCTATTCATTTTCTATGTGAACTTTGTTTTAAATCCTCCCATTTGAATTTGTCAAATAATGTTACATTAACAAATATACTATTATTTCAACCATTTACATTTAAATTTTCAAATTCTCCACTGATTAAATAATTGTAGGTTGTAGCACATCATACCCATACTCATAATGCTTTCACATTAGGTTTATTTTGAACCTGATGAATGGTGGCCAATGATTAGGCACAGAGGTGGGAGAAAATAGCAAAGAGGCAAGCTGTCAAAAAAAAAATCTGAAAAAAAAATTTGGTGTATTTCAGACCAGAGTCTGAATATTGAATCTGGGTCTTAGAAAAATACTAATAGAGTTCATATATGCCTATTCCTCATTTACTATGTCGTTATCCAACATTTTGCATTCATGGCACTCACAAAAATTTCTCAGGCAGCACCTTCAAGGGTGTGGACCCCTGTGATGTTGTTGTTGTTCAGTACTGTCAAGTCAGTTCACACCCGTACTGATTCTACACAACAGAACGAAACACGGCATGGTCCAATGACTCCCTCACAATCGTCCAGGGTCTTCTAATTCTTCACTGTGCCTCTACTCCGCCAAGCCAGATGTGCTTTGGCAGGGAATGGTCTCTCCTGTGAACACGTCCAAATTAGGTGAGATGCGGTCTCAGCATCCTTGCCACCGAGGAGCATTCTGGTCGCACAAATCCCAGACAGATTTGTTTGTTCCTTTGGAAGCCCATGGTAATTTCAATATTATTTGCCAGTACCATAATTCAAATTCATTGATTATTCTTCAGTGTTCCTAATTTAATGTCTAATGTTCACATGTATATATAACTCCCTGCCATCGAGTAGCTGCAAACTCACAGCAACCTTACAGCACAGGGTAGAGCTATCCCTGGGAGTTTCTGAGACTGTAACTGTTTGCAGCAAGTAGAAAGCCCTGCCTTTTTCCCAGGGCATATGAATAAATTGAAAATATTCCAGCTTGGGTCAGGCACACCTTAGTCCCCAAGTAACATCCTTGCTTTTCAATACTTTAAAGTGGTCTTATGCAGCAGATTTACCCAATACAATGTGTTTTTGGCCTCATTACTGCTGCTTCTATAAGCATTGATTGTGGATCCAAGCAAGATAAAATCCTTGACGACTTCAAACTTTTCCCTGATGTTACCTATTGGTCCAGTTGTAAGGATTTGGGTTTTCAGTCATAATACATACTGAAGGCTGCAATCCTTGATCTTTATCAGCAAGCAATATTGTACAATCCACATAGTGTAGATTATCAATAATATTTCCTCCTATCCTGATGGTGCACGAGATAGTTAAGGTTTATTGTGCCAACCTGGCCGATAAACACATGTGGGATTAACTGAAAGGTGGAGAGATAAATGGCTTGGTGAACCTTGCCTTTCTAGTTCTCAGATCTTTTGATTTCTGATGGTCAGACCAGGGTGAAGCTGCCTTAGCCAGTTCCCTACTTCAGCTGGCAAGGCTCACTTTCTGCAAGACATCCCTGAGGAGAAACCACATGGACCTATCCTGGTGCAACCTTGGGTGCTGGAGCAGCTGCATGAAGACCCCTGCCAGCGCTGAGATGCTTACAATCACTAATTCAGCTTTCCTCCTGCAGTCGGTGTCATTGCGTGTGTCTTGTGAGATTGAGAACTTTGTAGATTGGTGTCAGACATATGGGCTTGGACAGCACTGGATTAGGATGCTTTCTTAATGTACACTTACCCTTTATATAAAACTCTCTCTTATACATGTGAGTTTCTGTGGATTTGTTTCCCTAGTTCACCCAGACTAACAAACTGCATTATTCTTCATATAGTCCAGCTTCTCTACTGATTTTCTCCGCATACAGATTGAATAAATTCGGTGAGAGGATACAACACTGATGCACATCTTTCTTGATTTTAAACCATACAGTATACCCTTGTTCGGTTTGCACAACTGCCTCTTGATCCAAGTACAAATTCCATGTGAGCACAATGAAGTGTTCTGGAATTCCCATTCTTTTCAAGGCTACCCATAGTTTGGTTTTGATGAACAAAATTAAATGCATTTCATAGTCAATAAAATGCAAGTAAACATCTTTCAAGAATTCTCTGCTTTCAGCCAAGATTCATCTGGCATCAGGGATGATATCCCTTGTTGTGCGTCCCCTTCTGAATCCCATTCTGTCAATGTAGTGCTGCAACCATTGTTGAATGATCTTCAGCAGGCTTTTATTGCATGTGATATGAATGATATTGAGCTATAATTTTAGCATCCTCTTGGGTCACCTTTCTTTGGAATGGGTAGAAATACGGATCTTTTTCAGTGAGTTGACAAGGTAGCTCCCATCTCAATTTACTGGCATAGGTGAGTGAGTGCTTCCAGTGCTTCATCAGCCTGTTGAAACATTTCAATTGGTGTTCTGCCAATTCCTGGAGCCTTGATATTGGCTAATGCCTTCACTGCAGCCTGAACGTCCTCCTTCAGTACCATTGGTTCTTTCTCATATGCTACCTCTTGAGAGTGTTGAATGCTGACCAGTTCTTTCTGATACAGTAACACTGGGTATTCTTTCCATCTTTTTTGAGACTTAATGCATCATTCAATATTTTGCCAATGGGATCTTTTAATATTGCAACTCGAGGCTTGATTTTTTTTTCTTGAGTTCTTTCTGTTTAAGGTTCTTCTTTTTTGGTTTTCTCACTCTAGGTCTTTTGTAAGTTTTGTTATCGTATGTTACTTTTTCTTCTCAAACTGTCCTTTGAAATTTTCTGTTTAGCTCTTTTACTTCATCATTTCTTCCATTTACTTTAGCTCCTCTAAAATTAAGCACAAGTTTCAGAATCTCTTCTGACATTCTCTTTGATCTTTTCTTCCTCTCCTGTCTTTTCAATGACTTTTTAATTCTTTTGCTTTCTTCATGTATAATGTTCTTGATGTCATCGCACAGTTCACCAGGTATTCTGTCATGAGTGTCAATGCATCACACCTGCTCTTGAGATGTTCATGAAATTCAGGTGGGGTATGCTCAAGGTTGTACTTTGGTTCTCGTGGACTTGTTTTAATTCTTCAGCTTCAACTTGAACTTACATATAAGCCATTGATGATCTGTTCCACAGTCAGCCCCCGGTTTTAGCTGCTAATATTGAGCTTCTCCACAGTCTGTCCCCACAGATGTAGTCAATTTGATTTCTGTATATTCCATCCTGGAGAATCCCATGTGTGTAGTCTGCCTTTTATGTTGTCAAAAAACGACAATTGCTATAAACAAGTTGTTAGTCTTTCAAATCTCCAGTTTCATTATCACCAAGACTGTATTTTCCAACTACGATTCCTTCTTCTTTGTTTTCAAATTTTGCATTCCAATCACTAATAATTATCAATGAGTCTTGATTGCATATTTGATCAATTTAGAATGAAAAATTTTGGTAGAATTCTTCAGGCTTTTCAGTAGTAGCTTCAGTAGTTGGTGTATACATTTGAATAATAGTTGTATTGACTAGATTTTCTTGAATGAGGATTTATATTGGCCTCGCAGAGACAGCTTTGTACCTCAAGTCAGATCTTGTGTGTCCCTTTGGACAACAGATGTGATGCCATTCCTTTTGACCCTGTGATTCTAGGCAGAGTAAACCTTATGGCTGCCTAACTCAAAATAGCCAATGTCACTAGTGATTTGGTCTGGTCATGGAGGATGCAGGGTGACAATGTAACAACATGAAGGGGGTGTTCACTGGAGGCCCGAATGTATGTGGTGATCAGTAAGGGAGGAAAGAAGGGACATAGAGGGAAGGGAGTGGCATAAGGACACGAGGCTAGTCAGCCAGAGGAGGAGTAGGATCCCCACCCACAGGTGAGCAGTGAGGGAAGGACAAGTGAGATCCCCACCCATGGTGAGTGCCGGTAGGTGATAGATGGTGAGCAACACCATAACCAAACCTCCAATCCCTGCAGGCTCTGTGGTAATGCAGAAGGTGTATTGGGAAAGGGGGGTATAGAGTCAGTCATCCCTAGATACACAGGCAAACTCAGCAGGCTTTGAGGCTGAAGGAGGTGGGCTGGGATACTGATGCCAAAGACAAGGGACAGCCCTGACTCATGCAAAATGCTAATTTCATGAAATGACTTGGTCTTTGGAACCTAACCACGTGGATAAGTGAGAAGTAGTTTCAATTGCAAAAGTCTTGCATTTAACAATATTATAAAGTTTACAAAGTGATGTAATAATAACAATTATTATTCTATGAATGTTCGTGGAAAAATTCCATAATCTTGAACCCATTTATCCATGAACTTTTGAAACCCACTAGCACATTAGGGGAAGTAATATTTTTAAAAATTGTTCTTCTATAGCCCATCAATAAAATTATAATTCAAAATTTATATTAATATAATGCATAGTAAAACTTTATCAATGATATTGAATTTGCAACTAATGAGAATAAATAATTTCCAAAAAATAGAGCAAAATGAACCCTATTAAAAATTAGCATTCAGAGAACCCAAAGCCAAACCCATTGCCATTAAGTTGATTCCAAATAATTGTGAACTCCAAGCACAGAGCAAATCGGTCCTATATAGGAAGGCTGAAATCTCTACAGAAGGGGACTGCCACATCGTTCTTCTGTGAAGCAGCCGATGTGTTCAAACCCCTGACATCCTCTAGCACAGTAGTTCTCAACTTCCTAATTCTGTGACCTTTTAATACAGTTCCTCTCCCCAACCATAAAATTATTTCTGTTGCTACTTCATAACTGTAATTTTGCTCCTATTATGAATCGGGCGACCCCTGTGAAAGGGTCATTCAACCCCCAAAGGGGTCGCAACGCACAGGTTGAGAACCACTGCTCTAGCAGATCTAGGCTTAAATCACTGTGTCACCATGACTCCATCTCTAACTAAGCATTAAAATGAAATAGTGAGAAGTGGTGAATACAATTTTACGTAGATATATGAAATTACCTGAGATCCTCTATTCATATCAAGACCATACCAAACAGGTTTCTGGTCAGGGGATCTACTGGTCCACCAAGTTTTACGAGGTATGCTGGATGGATTTGCTGAAATACATGATTCTCCTGTTTCCATATTGCAGTATACTTTTATTGCATCTTCAACAACTCCTTGGTTAGGGTCAATCCAGTAATCACCTATTTTCAAAAACAGAAATATCCTTAATCAAATAGAATTAAGAATGTCCAAAAGAATTGACAGAGGGTTTAAAAATAGGAACTTACTAGCTAAGAACTCTTTTAAGATAGGGTATTCCTGAAATAAGATTGATCAAGATAAAAGCCTTCACTGTGAATTATACTTCCACATAAAGAAAACAAGCTCCTTACAAGTGGATTAAGCAACATCGTGATAACTGGAGAATATATTGCAGCTGTCAAGGATTTCACTTTAGTGAGATCCATAGTAAATGCCCAGAGGATCAACAATCAAGAACTCAAACATTGAATTGCATTGAAGAATCTGCTATAAAAGATCTCTTTAAAGTATTAAAAAGCAAAAATATCCCTTTAAGGATGAAGGATGTGCCTGACCCAAGTCATGGCATTTTCAATCACCTCATATGCTTGCAAAAGTTGGACAATGAATAAGGAAGAATGAAGAATTGATCACTGAACTATAGGGTTGGCAATCAATCAATACACCCCGAGTTGCCAGAAGAACAAATAAATCAATCTTGGATGAATGCTCTTTAGAAGTAAGGATGCTGTCCCATATATGTTGGACATTTTCAGAGAGAATCCAATCCCGGGAGAATGACATAATTGATAAAGTGGAGGCTCAGCAAAAAAACAAAAACAAAAAAAATGAGGAAGACTCAATGATATGGGTTAATCCAGTGGCTACAGCAATGAGTTCAAACCTAATAACAATTGTGAGGGTGGTCCAGGGCCAAGTAGTGTTTTGTTCTGTTGTAGACAGGGCTGATATAACTCAACACCTAACAGCAATATGCACATTCCTTAAAGAAAACATTAAAATTATGAGCTTTATGTACTCAGCTGCTACTCAAAAGGATTGTGGGTTACAGACCACAAGAAAGGCACATTGGGAGAATGGCATGGCGATCTACTTATGAACAATCAGCCATCGAAAGCGCTGTGGATTCATCTAGTAGACGTGGTTCTGCCTTTGTGAATGAAGGTTATTGAAAGTTTTTCCCTATCACCAACCCCTATTGTTTAGGTAAATAGTGCCCAGTCACTTAAGAATTTAATCAATACAAGTCAACAATTAATGTATTGTGGTTATTAGTCAGCCTATACTTGTATAATTTCATTTCTCAACACTCCTCTATATTCTATACCACTGACTAAATTAATGGCATTATCTATAGAACTATCCTATGCCCCATGGGGATGATTGATAATATTCTCCAACATAACTTTATGTCTCTAAAGTGAACCAGAGACATATATGAACTATAAACATAAGAATAGATTTTGGGCTTGCAATAATTCTAGTCCCAATATAAGAAAAATTAATCTTATGACATGGTCCTGCTTGATGCTCCCCCTTGTAAGATCACTGAAGGTTGGGTGCGATCGAAAAGTGTGCTGAGGACACCACCTGGTGCTCGGCTACCTGGAAGAACAGCGTCTGGGTCTTAAAGGCTTGTTTCCGACCAAGCAGCCACCTAATAAGGTGTCAGGTAAGCCCACGTGGGAGAGACCCCACAGCTTGTGTGATGCAAGGACTGTAAGCAGCAAAATCCAAAGGAGTGAATGTAACAATGTAACAGAGCTTACATTGAAAACCCCTGGTCTATAAATTTATAGAAATTATAAATAACAGTGGAAGCAGTCTTTCTAGTGGACAGAGAGCATTATGAAAGCAACTAGTGAAGATATAGTTAGGCTAAAATATAATATCTTATCCTTTGAGCCCCCACTTGACCTATTTTAAATATGCTTTAGTTTTTAATATTTTTAAGATGTTCCCATTTTCTAAAAAGGGGGGGGGGCTGGGGGGGAAATGCACAGAGATCGAGCCTTCAGTGGCTCTCCTCGATCACAGATCAGGGATGTGACTAGCCTTGCGATCCTGCAGAGTGAATTGCAAAGTGGAATATCGCAGATGCCTCTGTGTTAAAACTTAACACCTTATCATTTCGTTTCCCGTTGGCTCATTTAAATTGCTCTAGTTTTTAATACTTTCTGCTTTCTTTTCTATTGTGGTTTTCCTCTGGTATTGTTGCTGGGTTTGCTTGGGCTTTTTTGCATGCTTTTCTGTACGTGAAACCCAGGAAAGGCAACTCTAGAGAGACAGTAACCAGATGCAGGGCTGCTGGTGGGTGTGGCAGGGGAGGTGCACAGTAATGGGGACTGACGACAATGAGTATAACAAAGAAGACACTGATTGTGGCGATGATTGCACAACTCTTTTTAAATGATTGAACTACCAAATTGTATGATGTGCGGATTATATGTCAATAAAAATGTCTGAGAATTAGACAACAAGAAAAGAAGAAAGCCCTGCGGGGCACAGTTCTCTAGTGACACAAGTGGGGCCGCCGTGACTTGAAAACGATTCAATGGCAACCGGTTGACACGACGGGCAGTGTTCTAAGCTCTTTACAAAGCCACACACTTAACCCTTAGAGTCCCGGCAAAGCAACTGTCGCTGTTCTTACGTTATAGATGACAAACTATGCACAACGCGGGTCCGTCGTCAGTGAGTAAGTAGCTTCGTCGTCAGAGGAGTACTGCTCCACAGATTTGCTACGACTGTAAATCTTTATGGGAGCAGATAGCTTCTGCTAATAGCTTTGGGCTGCTTAACCTGCTGCACCACCAGGCATCCCTCTAAATTCATAGACCCAATGTCTCCAAGTCATTTTAAGTTGACTAGAATAAACCAGCTTGTTGCCAAAATGATGAATAAGGTACAAAATGAGGTGGATTAAAATTAGAATGCTATAACTATCTCATTTTCCCCCTAAAACCGATAATTTCCTATATAAGATACTCACGGTCCATGCCATAGTGCCTGATGCTGAACATGTAGTTAAGTTGATAAACAAAACCAAGACACATATACGTATATATTGATATATGTGATACATTTTATTTTAAAAATCCACTCAAAGGCAATGATGAGAGAGTGCTAGGATGCATAGGTTGAATGTAAGAAGTGCATATTGTTCAAGCAGGTCACCCTGAGGGTGTGGAGGTGTATGCCTGAGCCAAACCTACTAACATTTCAGATCCCAGGGCCACTCCACAGCAAAAAGGTGAACATTTCTGCCCCAGAAAGTTGTGGGCAGCGGTTCTCAACCAATGGGTCATGATCCCTTTGGGGGTCGAATGACCCTTTCACAGGGATCCCCCAATTCATAACAGTAGCAAAATTACAGTTATGAAGTAGCAATGAAAATAATTTTATGGTTGGGGGGTCACCATAACATGAGGAACATATTAAAGGGTCGTGGCCTTAGGAAGGTTGAGAATCACTGGGTTAGGGCCTTTGGAACCCAGAGGCAGTTCTACTCTGCCCTGTAAGGTTACTGTGAGTTAGAATTGCCTTGATGAATGTGAGTTTAATGTTGAAAGACAATGATTTTAGATGTCCATATCAATGTCATTTCAAATGGAACTCTTAACATCTCATAGATAAGTCCTGTGACTTCGTGTTCCTTTCTCCAGGTTTTATTTAATCAATCTAAATGATAGAATAATACACACTGTAAGCATGGTTCATATAACTAAGAGGGGGAAAGGTCCTTTATTTTAAAAATCCATAGAACCTCAACTATAAGATAGCCCCAACAGATATCACTAACATGTGATTCAGGGAACATTTCGTTATGTTAAAGAAATTCAATATTAAAATAAGTGTGATAAATGATCTATGCTTTATTCTACTCTGAAGTCACAATATGTAATAGAATACTAAAAATTCTGAGAAATCATGCAGGTTAAAAAATTACTCTTGTTTAGCCACGCACATTCCAAATTTATATCATTATGAAATGTTTTAACTCACACAATTTATTCTTAATTGAAGACATCTAGACTGAAAATAGATTATATCATGGAGCTGATATGTTGCCTACTATAATACTTATCATTTTATCTTATAACTTTTCCTATACGCTCCCTACCACAAAACCATAAGCGCTGGTTCCTGCTTCCTGTTTTATTTCTTGAGTCTTGCCCAAACGGGCCTCTGGGTACTCACCACTCTTCTTGGTGGGATGGCAAAGCCTTAAGTCATCACAGGTCCGGGCTGGGTGCTTTTTGGAGCCATCGGGGCTGCGCATGGTTTCGATCTGACTGCTGAGGGACTTCAGGGTAGCATGGACCCCTGGATCCGTTTTGTTTTTGTCATCGGGGGCAGCTTCATCTTCAGTGAATTCTGGAAGTGGATCTGGCATGTTCTCATCATAATGTCCCATAATATCCCCAAGAGCAGCTGTTAGGTGGCCAGGGGGTCCTGGAGGCCCAGGAGGGCCAGGTTCTCCAGGAGGACCCTGAGCAATTAAAAAGAAATTAGACACACAACTACGTCACTGTTTCCTATTGAACAGAACGGTATAGGTGGGACTTGGTAAACAGTTAATTGCCACTCAACACCCCAATTAGTGATATGGCAAACGGTGTGATTCATGTCCTTTGTAAGTGGCTGGCTTGCCAAGTTATGACGATGTAAAGATGAGGAATAATGCTTAGAGCATACATTGCATTTCAGCATATACTTTTGTCAGAATCTAAGGTAAATAAATGTTAGAGCACTGATATTTGATCTGATGCTTACCTTAAAGACAAGCATATATCTTTTATGTTGAGAATATTTAGATAGCTACATTCCACTCAAACCCCTTAAAGAGCTAATAGGTAAAAGCAATATGAGAAGGTACTAAAACAAACCAAAAAAAATATGATGTTTAGTTTGGGGCTAGAAACTTGAAAGTATGCAATCTTGAGTTTTTAAGGACATTTTGGGCAAGGTAAAATAGTTTTAAAAAGCGGTTTATGAACCGAAGTCGGAAGATGAGATAGACAGAGCTGTGACTCCTGGTTTCAAAAAGCTACGCAGCAAACCCCACAGACACACCCAGGGGAGAGTTTATCTTGATTCTTAAGGAAAGGGGAAATGGAAATACCTTTTCCCATGGATTCATTAGTATATAGATTAAAATTCTCTCCTTCAAACGAAGTAACAATTCTCTTTAGCCATTTTAGTCCAAAACAAATAATTCTGTTTTGTTGCCAAGCAAAAACTACATGTGTGACAGGGAGTTGATGGGGAAAAGTGATAGAGCCTAGGAAGTCGACCCTATGGATTCTTTCTACGAATCCTCAGCAAAGAACTCAGTAAGCTGACGGAACAAGCAAATAACCAACAGAGACATGGAGACATCGCATGTGAGGGGCACAGAGCTGGGAGTCAGACGTGGTCATTCTGAACCTGGCTCTGCCATTCACTATATGGCTCTGGACAAGTTCCTTCCACTTTCCGTGTCAATGTTTCCTCCTTATCAAAACCAGACCAAGCTAAACTCTCTGCCATCAAGACAATTCTGACTCACTGGTACCCTACAAGACAGAGTAAACCACCCTGTGCGGTTCCAAGACTGTAGACCTTTGTGGGACTAGAAAGCCTCATCCTTCTCCCAAGGAGAGGCTGGTGGTTCAGACTGCTGACCTTGTGGTTAGCAGCCCCATGTGGAACGCACTGTGCCACCCAGGCTCCTTCCTCATTATCAGAAGACATGTGCGGTTTTCAGGGTCAGATAATCCTTCTACGAATTCCTTTACTCTTGAAAAAAAGCCAAGAACCACAAAAGCAAAAGTATTCCAATTTTGTAGCTGTTTTCTATTCACATTTAGAGAAACAAACACATAAATAAATACACATATCCATAAAATTCCAGACCATGAAACTATACGGCGATCTGATCTATTTTGGTTTATAATAAATATTTTCTTTAGTAATCTAGTCATCAAAAGGCAGAGCCATAAAGAAGAGGAAGATGTAAATAAGATCAAAGAAAAAGAAATCTCAGAGAGCGAGAGCATGCACTCGTCAACACACATGCACGAGAGCACAGACATGGTAGAGGAATAAAGACATTTTCCAGAAGCCTGAGAAGCAACGTGCTAATCATCAAGCTTTATCTCACACAATCTTCAAACCAATATGTTAGAATTTGTGATGCCTATTCTCTCCATCTGTCATTTTGATTAAAGCAAACCTTCTGTTTCAGACTCTTCACTTTCTAGCATAAAACTTATGTGTTCACGGCATCATAATTGCATCTCATGGTCATTATTGTACTATCGTTTAAAGGACATTAACCATTTTATAACTTTAATCATAAACAAGAGCTCTACTTGTGATATATTCTCATTGGCATCAAGGCCTGGGTAACTAAGATGATGAATTACTTGTATTAAAATTTCAGTGCAACAAATCACTTTTATGTGGCTTTTTTGGCTATAGTCTTGTAAATTCCACAACGTTATCATCTGGGCTACAATCTAGGAAAGATTGATTTATGATAAAGACTATTTTGAGAATCTACCAAGGACTGAACACGGTGTGGTTGACCTAGGAGACTTCGTTCTCACACTCCTCTGACTTGTACAAGGGCCAGTGTCACAGAGGTTCAGCAACTTCATTGCCATCTAGAAGCATATGGGGAGAAACGTGTCCTTTGGACTTTGGGTTCCTGTGCTGAGATTTCCTAGATCCAGAGCAGAGCTGGCACAGTGCAAATGAAAAGTCAGTCATCCCACAGAGAGAGAGTGACCTCAACAGTGGGTCAGTCAGCCCACAGAGATGGGCACCTCCATGCCGGGGTCTGCCTGCTGCTGAAGAACTGTAACTCTTGCCCATGCAGGGCAGAGATCTGAGTGTGCCCTACGCAACACTCTCCCAGACTTGGACAGCATGGCACCAGGGCTGTGGGCCCTCTGGGAACTCCAGCTCAGGCAGCATTGATTGGAAGCGAGAAAGCCACATGGATAGTTTAGCAGGAGCCTAGAAGGGCAGAGGCCTGGAGGGGCCCAGCAGATGAAATTCTGGAAATGTGGGACCCCTGGTAGCTTGGGGGTAGCCAGAGGCAGCGATGATGTGAAGGCAGCCTCTGACCTAGGCCACACGTGTCGGCTAGAGACATAAGAATGGACATGGGAGATTTGGGAAGGATCAGCAGTTCCCTTTTGAGAAACGTGTTGCTCTTTCCTCTCTATGAATAGCGATGATGATTTCACTTCGTCAAACCTTGGGAGATTGGTTCAATCACAGATAACATCTGGGGCACTGTCTGCGTGGGCCGCACAGGTACAGGTAGACAGACAGGAATCCTTTAAAAAAGTATTTAAACTGCTTATACAAATCAGCTCTTCTATGGCTTTAGGTTTCTTTCCAAGATTCCATTGTCTTTTATTCGTTAGTCTGCATGGACTGTCTTCTGAGGGTGGTGGCCCTTTGTCAGAATCAAAACTATGAAAATCCACAATACTACTTTTGTGCAAATCCCCATGATTTTACCTCGGGTCCTGCTTCTCCGACAGTGCCCCGAACACCAGGAGGTCCGACCGGCCCGAGGGGCCCAGCGTTTCCTTCTTTCCCTGAAGGACCAACTGGGCCTGGAGGACCCTAGAAGAAACCAAGACTCTTTCAGATTCTGTGGGAAAAACAAAGCACCTTCACAGCGTCCTGGCCTTTCCTTTCCATAAACCTATTACAGTGATTTCTTGGATTCATCTTCCTGAGGACTCATCAATGCATTCTAGAACTCTTAAATTGTTTGTGAATTCATCACGCCTAATTTCTCCATCACATATGCATGCTGAGAGACCAGCTCCAGTCAAGAACTCTAATGGACTAATCACCTCTGTTGTCTTTAATGGGAACTGTTTCATGAAATCTCAAATATTGTAAACAGAACTGGATCCTCAACTAACTCAGGAAATGCCAGAAGTTGGGATGTTTTTCCGACGTGTAAGTTAAATTTGTATGCTTACATGCCCAAACCGCCCCCCCCATACTTGAGTAATTTTCATCATACTGCTCTCAATCTTACGATTTTTACACTGCATTTAAGACATAGGATTTTTTCTGCTTCCCCAAATATTATGTATGTTATTCATCACAACATTAATAACCTACTAGAGGCAACATTCATACTAATGTAAAATTTCCCAAAGCTCCACATAATGGTTCCAGCTTATGATTTACTTCTGAATCAGCTTATGTAAACTACCTCTAGTGAATTATCTCCATTACCTAAGGGAAAAACACATCCAGCTTCCAATTCTGTCTCCACTTCATGGTTGGTCTTATTACAAAGTCTCAAAGAATGCAAGTTTAATGGAAGTTTCTATGAGCACAGAGCACGAAAATGAACTACCTCATGAGTACATGCAAACCCTATGGAAGATATTTTAATGCGGGCCTGTGATGTCATATTTGCAGGTTGTTTTTACTTAAAAGTAATTGCTGAATGGTTTCCCTCTTATGTTTGCTGTCAACTTCAAAGAAACTAGGCCAATTATAGCTTCAGTGCCATAAAAAATGATGCTCACGTGTTAGCAGTATATCACTAAACATTTTGTTATTTACAGCTGGACCTTATTTTTTGTTACTTACTCTTGGGCCAAAGGGTCCGGGGATTCCAGCACTGCCTTGTTCTCCATTTGGACCCTAACAAGGAAGAAAATGTCTCTGAATGCGGCCAAAATATTTAGCTGATGAAGTTTGCCATCCTTTGCTTCTGGAAACATACTGTTAAAGACTTTAACAGCATAAACTATTTGACAAGGTCATCAGTCTCTGCGCTGTCTGCATGAGTTTGTTGGCTTTCAGCCTGATGTGACCAGGACTACACACAACATTAAATGAAATGACACATATATCTTTCTGCTTGATTTCTTCCAAACAAAAGTCTAGCTAATAGATAGCTAATTATACAAAGATCAAGTAGGTAATTATGAATCCAGATATTCTACGTAATGAAAATATTTTAAAAATAAGATCAACATCCATTTATTTAGACACACATGCATACTCATGTCAAGACACCTATAATTACATACACGGATGCAAGAAAAATGATGAAGCAACAACTTACAGGAGGTCCAGGAAGACCTTGAAGACCCGTGAAACCTCGGTGACCCTTCTGACCTCTATCACCTCGATCTCCATGATCACCTTTGTCACCACGGGGTCCTTGGGGTCCCTGGAAATAGAGTCACCATGATACAGATATTGCTTTTCTTAAACGTGTTGTACCTTTGCAAACGTATTGTTGTCCTTTTATGTGGACGACATTTTTATCCAAGTAGCATTAGATCTAGGAGTCTTTGTATATTTTTTCCCAAGGAACGATAAGGAATCATTAAAACCATAGACACCGGTGAAACCAGTGAGCATAAGAAAACGGTCTAAGGCAGAAACCTACCAGAAGGAAAACTCAAATATCTTCTACTAAAGTGAGCAATTGAACAGTGGTAAGTGCACGCAGTCACAGGTGGAGAACTTGCCAGACTCAGAAAACACAAGTCCCAGCTCTTTCTTTTTTCACTGAAAAATACTACTTTCCTGAAGATTCAGTTTTGTTTCTTAATGTTTACCCTGCATTCATGTCTAAAATATCATTGTTTTAGGTTTGAAATTGCCTATATGAAACACTTCCTAAAGGACTTATCTGGTGTCTTTAATGGATAATCATTTTAGATAAAATATTATTATCACATATAACTTTTAAAAATTAAAGCCATGAGTAATAGAATATTTATCATGTTACCTCTTGGAATAAAAATGCCTATGAAATTTGTATGCTCAAACTAACTGGACATGTAAACTGTGACTATATTAAGAAAATGATGAAATCTCATTTGAATAAACTATACTAGCATATCATCATTAAAGCACACTGCTTTAAAGAAAGCACAAAGAAATGCTATATTATTTCCTTATCCACAAATTTCTAAATAAAGTAATCCTACTCATGAGAAATTTAAGGAAAACTGATAATTAAGAATCCTATTGTAGAACAGAGGCTGAACTCAGACGGGAAAATTATCTGTTCAATTGAAAAATTTGTTTTTTTTCAAGGCCTGGGGAATACATAAAACCCAAGGGTCAAGTGGTTGACAGTCAAGTGACATCAAGTCACCAATTGCACGATCAGCTTCTGTTGTTTGGGGTTTTCCTAAAAGAGAATTGTAAGTCTCAGTCTGACTCTGAAAGACGTAGGAAATCATCAGATGGACCGATTCTATGAGTAATATTTCCCTTATTGCTTTTGTTTGTATTTTCTATGTGCCCTCCTCTTTCTTTTTTAATTTGGATGTCCTAATTGTCAAAATGTATACAAACTATTTTATAATGAAAATAAGAATTGTTTTAATTACATGTGAAATATTTTACTTGAGAGTGTATATTTACTTATTTATGTAAAACTTTATTGTGATCTAAGTCAAGGACTGTGGAGCAAATGACCAGTTTCACACTCCATAATTATACATATTTTGTTTCAATTTATCCACCTCGATCCTCACATTGGACCTTCTTTTATCCTACTTCCTCCCAGGGTTTCCTGTTTGCATTCCTCCTTTCCTAACCCTCTGCCCTTGGGCGAATACTGTCCTTGGGCCATAAGTGGCTGATTATTCCAGCTCCCAGGTGAATTCACTTCCAGACCTGAAGGGAGACCAGTGGCCACAGTCTTGAGGGCTCCTCCAGTCTCTACCCAACCAATAAGTTAAATATCTAAGTCAGCCTGAATGATTTCGTAAATGTAGATCAGTTCATTTATTTTTAGGTCCCCAACGTTTCATAATTGGCAAAACTACTCAGAAAGCAGCTAGTTCAATTATTAACTAGAATTCATTTATAACATTGATTTTATAACGGGTTAGAAATTTTCACAGTTCAGCTAAAATCAGAGTTGATAGATTTAATTTGTTAATATGACCACTATTTTAAGGATACCACTATTCTTCATGGATACGGACATTGATTTAAATAAAGAGTATGAAAGCAACCTAACTCATTAACCCACTGAAACTTACTGCAATCCTCAAGTCAATTCCACGTCATACTGACCATATTGACCTAAGGGGGTAAGTTTTCACAGAAACAGGGTAGCCTCATCTTTCTCCCACTGGTTTGAACCTCTGACCTTACCGTTAGCCATCCAACACTTACTTGACCATGTTACCAGGTCTCCTTACATGACTTGCTAAATGTAAGAGATAATTCATTCACAATAATTTAACCATAAAATAACAATTGAACCAGAAGCAATTTCAAAGAGGAAAAAGATCCTAACTTGAGAAGGAATGTTATTGAAAATAAAACATAATATTTGTATAGCACTTTTAATTTACAAAGAGCTTTCTAATCCATTCCCCTCTGAGATCCTTAGACAGCTCTGAAAGGAGTATAGTCATTCATATCATATGGGAAAAGAAAACTATGAGTGTGAAAGTCTTCATGAATTGTTGAACTAATCCATAGATAAATTCAGAGAGGATGTGTTTCAATTACAGAAGCAAAAAGAAAATTCAGAGTATTATTTTATATTAATATTTTTGTTGAAAGTTTGAGGAACTTAGTATTTTTATTTCATGAATCTTAAATTATACTTAATTTTTTGAAGTGCATTTTATATCAGAAAATATGTGTTAAATAAAATTGAGAACTTACAGGTAAACCACGTTTCCCAGCTCGACCAGGTGGTCCTATAGGACCCCGAGAACCCTAAAAGAAATGTTCATAAAAATTAATAAGTAATAAAGACATGATATACATAGGTATATAGATATGGAGTATAAAAATATATGTCAGTAGTTGGGTGTTTATATGTGCAATCTATGTATATATATTTTATGACAAATGATTAAAGTCAGACTAATGACCATATGCAGGTAAGCACAAGCTCATTATAACTCCAATGATATTTCTACAGGGAATTCTATTCATTGATTTCCCTGCACAGCAACACTCTAAAAGGTTTCTGAGCCTTTAAATCCTGATAGGAATAGATGGCTTCCTAATTACATTTCCTACAATTTATAAAATCACAACTTCAAGATTTTTTTTCGTTTCTCTTAGAAAAAATTCCATTTACGACCAAAAGTGTATATAGTTTATACATCATTGGATACTTAGCAATTTTTTGTTTAGAGTCTTGAGCCAAATGTACATGTATGACTTGTAATACAGCATATTCACATGCATGAGAACCAGTACAAGATTGATTCCCCTCTTACCGGCTCTCCTCTTAGCCCTGCATCTCCAGTAGCACCAACAGGGCCAGGGGTTCCAGGGGCACCCTGAGATCCAGGCAGACCTGCAGGCCCAGGGTCTCCACGATCGCCCTGACAAGATCAACCATTATATTTGTATCTTAATATATTTATTCTCAAACATTGGTCGCCTCTATGTCCATGCTGTCCATGGCAGGGGAAAAGATCATATTTTTTCTCTTATTTTAAGTCAAATAGGAAGGGTGATATTATTTCAGCCTTCTTTCCTCCCTTCTACCATCCCTGTTCACGATGGCTGGTACAGGAGTGGTGGCCTCCAGAACTTAGCACGTTTCCTGGGCCAGCAGTCTTCAAGCTGAGCTGCCTCCAGGTACAGACACTCCACTCCAGGGAGTGTGAAAGCAGGGATAGTTTTAAGCTAACCCACTTCCAGATCTTCAATTCTGATGGAGTCTTTCAGAAAACTGATATTTGAGCATCCTTTCCTATATTTCCGTTACCAATCGCCCTTTCCTACTTCATTAAAAAAGAATAACTGATCTGATCGCATACCCCTGCAATCTTTCCCATGGTTCAAGTCCCCAGGTATGAATACCTTAGGGCACCAAACAAAGGGATTTCTCCAGCAGATATACTTCGCTTGAGAATACAGCAAGCAGAAATTTTGAAAGAAAGAGGCTGCTCCTTAGTTTATTCAGGAGACACATTTTTGACAAAGCTCCAAGCTTCACATGACTACGTACTGAGAAATCAGATGTGAGATGACTGTTGTGTGAAAACTTTTGAACATAGTTGACTTAAAAGACTAGTTGGACATGAGACGTTACCTATAGTATATCAGACTATTTATTTATAATTTGATTACCTAGTTTGTCATTTGCCAGGCATTATAAGTTTTGGTGGTAATTGAGTTTTATGACAGATATTTTTAATAAACTAAGTTAAAAAAAAACCACCAAGATTTTGAAAAATATGTTTAAAATGCTATACATTAAAATTTTACCAGGTATTATCTCCTTTGCAGTCATGGAAATGATGATTTTTTTTTTCATGGGAAGTGAACTAAACATATGCTTAGAGGTTTACAAAGTTTCCTAAGTATTTCAGCGAGTGTACCAACAAAACCTTTGAAGACTCCTGCACCAAATAATGTGAACTGAGCCAAGCAAAAGCTCATACGCTGCAATCACTCTAGATGGGAGAAGCACTTAGTGCAACACCCACAAAACCTTCTTCTCTCTTAGAAACCAAGACCAACCAGCACAACAAGAAAAATGGTCCGTGGGTCCAGTGTAACTCCTGGTGACCCTGTAGGGCAAAGTAGAACCCTCCACAAGGCGCAAGAAGTCTGACACATCTTTCTCCCACAGAGCAGCATCTTCTGGTGAGCAGCTAAGCACTTAAGCACTACACCAGGTGTCTCCTTGATCTCCCAAAGAGTTTCAGCATGACAGTGTTTTTCAATGCCTAGTCATCCTACATACTTTAAACACAAAAATGTTCAATTACAGTACATAGGTATCAACCACACAAAGTATTTAAATGGTGGTGGAAACTTTCTGTTTTCATGCTTTTGTACATGGGTTTGAAATTTAAAGCACTCCAGATGCGTCCTCATCTAAAGCCTTTATGATGAACCAAAATACAAAAGCGCTTTGCTCTCCAACACTTGATGCTTCGATCACTAAAATGCCCTCACCCGTTCTCCAACAGCACCGTCTCGTCCTGGAGTACCGTCGTTACCAGCAGGACCCTATAAAGAATTATATTTGAAAATAATTAACTGAATAATGAAAGAATGTATTCTAACTGCCAGAAAAAGTAGCACACATTTCCATATCTTTTCTACCAACATAAATGATCATATATGAACGCCTCAGGTATAAAAAGGTTTCTGCCTTCTTTTTGACTGCTCTTAATTACTTGTAAAATTATTAATTCATATGTAATCTAAATTCCCCACTTGTATTTTTAATTTTAAAGATAGTTGAAAACTCAAATCCTTTGAGATCACCTGTAATTTAAAATTGAGCATTTATTTTTTATTTACATATTAACAAGTGAATGTTTTTTCTATTCTTGAGATTTTTTTCCAAATAGTATTCTTGAAATTTTGTATTAAGATATTCTGAGGTAGATGAAGGTTATCTACTGTGTGGTTCCAAATGCAGAGCATGACTGAAAAGGTAAAACGATAAAGAGAGAGAAAACATCAGGCTGGGCCTGGATTTCAGCGCTTCAGGCGGGACGAATAGGTGGACCAGACTGGACATTTTATAGGCAATGAAACCATCCTACGTGACACGTATAATGGTGGATAGCTGATATTTACTGTCAAAACCTAGAGAACGATACAACAGGAAGAGTGCAGGAGACCCAATGTGAACCATAGACTTTAGCTAGCAATAATGCCTCACTATTGACGCCTCAACTGTAATGAAAATACAGTTCCAGTGTTAATAACAGGGGAAACTATGCCTGGAGGGAAGTCGGTGGGAAGATAAAGCATCTAGCCATCTGGAAACTCCGAGTACTTTCTGCTCCACTTTTCAGTGAACCGAAACTGCTCTGAGGAAGCAAGGCCGTACTCTTGCGCACGCGCGCGCACACACACACACACAAATGGTCTTATTTTTAGAGCAGTTTAGTTATATATATATGCATATATATAATACAATAGAGAGGGTCCTCTCCTTATTTGTTTTAGATTTATTTTTAAGATCTGTGATTTCATCACTTGATCAAAATTTTCTCTGAAATGTATTGTCTCAAGAAAATCTGACATTAATATGGCATTAAACTGTTCTGTGATTTACTCATAAACGCTCGAAAAAGAGGAGTTTCCCATCTGAAACTTCTCAAATTTCTTTTCAAACCCTAATTTCCACTCAAACTGCCCTAAGGGAGCCTGCCATCTAGGTTACTTTAGAGTTTAGAGTGACGTGCAAGGAAAATGACCTTTACTTAGTTTGCCCTTTTCACGAACTGTAATAGTGATATTAATCCTATCACCATAAATCTGGGTGAGTTTGAAAAATGTACCATTACAGGATGACATAATAACAAGGGGGAAGATTAATGTATGTGTCTTCTGACCTTCCAGACAATTTGGCAATAAAAATCAATTAAAATGTTTAACTCCAGGCTAGACCAAAGTCAGTGCAAAGAAACCCACCTTGATCCCTCTTCTCCATGCCATCACTTAACCCACTCTCCAGGGAAGGAGAGCACATCAAATAATATCACTCCCATCTGTCCTTAAGGTCAAATGTAGAATCAATTTCTGAATTAGTTTCCCAACGAGAACAATACGGTCTGAGGGCCCCCAGATAGCGCGATAGAGCTATTTTCATGCCGTACTCACCTCCGGTCCAGGCTCCCCTACGGGACCATTTGAGCCCGGTGGTCCCACAGGTCCAGAGGGACCTTTATCTCCTGGCCCACCAGTTGGTCCGACTTTTCCTGGTGTGCCCTGAAATAAAAGTATAAATATACCAACTAATTTTGAAAGAAATGTAAGAATTTTAGTTCATATTAAGTTCACTTGTATTCAAATGCAACTAAGCCCAGCTTTCCCTAACAATTGCGCATTATCTGATAACACACACGCCACTATACTGCACCCTCAGAGGCACGCTCTCTTCTCTGACACAGCAAAACAACCAAAAAAAAAGGGTGATGTTGGTGGTGGTCTGATTACCTTTATCCATTGAATTTGGGTTTTGCCCTTGATTCCTGAAAGATACCCTTTAAAACCTTGGAATTTACCCAATAATTGAAATGACTTTGAAGAGGGCTCTGATATACGGAAATAAGGGAAACCCTCAATGACACAATCACCACCTTGAACTCACACATAGCAGTGATCATGGAGTTGATTTGAGACCGGCAGCCTTTCTGTCATAGTTAAAGTCACATACGCCGGAGCTAACTCAAAAGTAACTTACAACATCCACCAGACCATTTTATCTAACAGGTTATGTGAATTATGTGACTTGAATGGATCCTGGCCATGCCAGGGAGAGCCATTTAGTGATTTCAGTCCACCTCGGGGGAGAAAGGCATCATCCTACCAACCATAAATAACTAGGTAATGATTCAATGAAGACTCTGAGCATAAAAGCTCTGAAGACCTTCTGGTTGGTGAGCGCTAACTGATGCCTGTGCAGAGAGCATGTTCCTTTGTGAGATATCATCCTATGATCTCTCCATCTGCATCCTCTTTACTGGATTAAAACTATAACCATAAGTATAGCATTCTCAGTGACTTTAGTAAGTCCTTCTAGTGAATTCTCAAACCAGAAGGAGTAACTGAAAGTCACCAGGTCAGATTATGTGGGGAAGATCCTAAGGGCCCTTGAGCTTATTGCTCACATCCAGAGGACGTGGTGGAAAACCCTTGAATTTGTAGCAAGCAGGACAGAAGTAAGGATGTATGGGGATCTCCAAGCTCGTAGCTGGAGTATGAGTTTGCCAATCTGGGGGATTACGCTCTTTAGATTTATGAGATCTGATATGTCGCTTATGATTAGGATCAAAGGAAGTAATACTGCTTACACAATTGGGGGAAAATGAATATAATTGAAATGGGATTGCAATATGGTTGGATAGATTGAATTCTTTCATTCAGTTAGTATGGGAAATGGAACAGATTACATTAAGACTTGCAGTCTCCAGACCAGGTGTGCAATTTGGGTTCTAGTTATAGGTACCATAGTCAATTATGGATAGCTTTCAGAAATTTAATTTGCCAGCAAAACGGATGATTTTTCCCTGCTTTGTCTGATCCCCATATTTCTGTATCCTGGTTCTTAAGTCTGTCTTTGGGGGATTCTGCTTTCACGTCCCCATTTCACTACTACTAATAATAAGACATCCTTTAACTTCTGGTTTGCTAATTTCAGATGTCTACTCACATATCCCCACTCCTAGAGCCCCAGAAGTAACGTCTAGGTCTAGAAAATGGTTGTTGTTTTTTTTCCTTTCAAGAAAAAGAACAGCTTTAGGATCTGTCCCTGTTCATCCAACATTCATTTGCACTCTGACTCATTTTAGTTTAACTCATTCTTAGCTTTGATGGTTTATGAAAACTTACAGAATTATGAAATATGGATATGTTTGTTAAGCATATTTATTTTTTTGAAAGACTACCTACTCACCATCATATTGCCCCACCTCTCTAGCTCCATAGATATTTCTACTGTTTGATGAAATATTTAAGTATCATCAAAAATTCATAGCCTTCATTGCCCACTTCTCCAGCCAAAGGGCTTAACAAGTATATTTTCCAAAGATTTTTCAAAGTACCTAAGTGAAGAATTTGATCTTTGAGAAAGAAGTATTTATGCCTTAAAATAAAAAGACTGTCTGTCTACAGTTATTTAAGCTACTTAAATATGTTTATTAAGCAAAAACACCATAACTTATCCTCTCCACACAAACTTTAGTGCACGGACAGAATCAGATGACAACTCACCGCGGGACCGGGCAGCCCAGGCATGCCTCGCTCGCCGCGTTGCCCAGGCATGCCGACAATTCCTCGTTGCCCAGTCGTTCCAGCAGGACCAGGGGGACCATCTGGGCCCTAGTGTGAAAGAGAAAGTACAATGAGACGTTCTTCAGGGTAAATGTATATTGTATCATATGCTACAGCTCTACCGAAATGTTAATATGAGGAAAAAGTCCTCCATTTTATTAAGCTTTAATTATATCCATGGGTAAAACAAAGTAAAAATCATGGAAACCATTATCAAGCAAACATATCAAAATGTGACATTATTACTTTTTGACCTCTTCCAAAGATCTATATAGGTCACAAGATTGTATCTCCAGCTCTCTAACCCTTCCCCCAAAGAATGCCGGGCTCTTCAGTTTACACCATGTCAAAATGCATGCTTTGGAGTTTGCAAGGCCGTAACTCCTGTTCCATTTACATGTTCTTGGAGTATTGGTCTGGAAGGGGCATGAGCAGGGTTGTAAGGTAGATAGATAGGGCCAGGTTTCCCAACCAAATTCTCATAAAGACAGCTCTTGCATTCCTTGAAGAATGAGTAGGTACACTATTGTGATAGAAAATAATTCCATGGCTCACCTTTCCTAGCCTCTTACTCACCAATTCAGTTTCCAATTGTCTTACAACTTCTTAATAAGCCTTGTGTCTTTTGAGAAAATCTATCAAGCTTGCCCCTTTGTAATTACAACGACACAGTTCATATAGGTTGTGTTGTTGGCTAGGCATTGGAGTATTACCTGCAAGGTGGGTTGTTCAAGCCCACCAGCCACTCCTCAGGAGACCGTAAGTCCGTTTGGTCCCATAAAGATTTACCACTTCAGAAATGCTACCCGGGGTCATTATGAATCAGAATCAACCCGATGGCAGTGGGTTTTTTTAGAGTGAGAAATCTTCTGAGCTGCCCTCTCTGCCTTAAATTCAACTGGCCCAGCAGACCACCTTGGAAATTAGTTTTGATTGGAACTATTTTTGAAGGCGCCCTAACTCTAAGGATTAAGACAACTGTTTACTAAGAGAATTTATCTGTTATCTACTAAAAACAGACACATGCTTATACATAGTCTTTTTGAAACTGACCAGTGTAGGAACTGGTTTCTTTGAACTGGAATCTTAGGAACAATATTTTTTTTTACGTATCCTAGTATCCATATGTACATTAAATTTTTAATCCACCTAAAACTGCTAAGGTAATTCAAAGGTGAAAGTGACTTATCAGTTAAAAAGGAATTTAAAGACCAAATTTTAATATTGACTGAATGAAAGAAGTAACTACACAGAGAAGAACTTTTATACTTTTCAAAAAGGTAAAAATAAAATTTAAAAAGTCAAGAAAAAGCTGAACAAGCTCCGAGTACTATGAGTGACCATATCCTGCTGTGACAGAGTAGTTTTGTAGGGTGTTACTACTAAGGAAACTGTGTAAAACTGAATCCATTCTCCAATTTAAGAACAATTAGTTCTTACATCATGGCCCTGCTTGAGACTCGCCCTCGGAAGGGAACACAGAGGTGATGGGTGCTATAGCAAGATGTGGTGAAGAATGTAGATGTGCCCAGCTAGCACATAAAATAGCATCTGGGGTCTTAAAGGCTTGTTTCCAAACAAGCAGCCATCTAAGTGAGATGTCAACTAAGTCCACACTGAAGAAGCACACCATCATCAGTCATCAAGGTATAATAAAGTATATAATCCAAAGTTGAAGGAGGGAATAGTATCAGAGGCTAAATTGTAAGAAATCAGTTTGCAGAAGGCTATGGATGACAGTGGGAGCCCAAGATACATTTGTGGGAGCTACATAGGAAATACGCCTCCAGTGATCTCCCTCTGTCCATAATAGAGGGAGGGCAGGAAAGTGGTTACTAAGCAGAGCACATTGGAGAGGTGACTACAGAAGGTCAAAAGAAAAAACCTGGGGAAAATGAAGACCCAATGCCGGGGGTTTAAGTGGAGAGAAAATGTTCTGAGAATGATGAGGGCAATGAATGTACAAATGCGCTTTACACAATTGATGTGTGTATGGATTGTGATAAGAGTTGTATGAGCCCCTAATAAAATGATTTTTTTTAAAAAGGAAAAACCTGACGTGAACAGTTAACATCTTGTCTGCTGATCCCCCCTCTGATACACATTAGGCCTGATCTGGTTTTCAACATTGTCTATTGTGTTTTGTGTTCTGTTGGTTCCTGTTGGGGTTTAATCTCAGGTGTGTATGTCATTGGGGTGGGGGTGGGGTGTCACCCTCTTGAGTTTGTGTTGTATGTTTTTCTGTTTTTCAGAATAGTTAACCCAGGTTGATGAACCCATAGGGATAGCAAGTAGAATAAGGGTTTCTGGGGGGACTGTGGGAGTTAGGAAAAAGGAGGGTAAAAGGAGCCAATGTCAAGGTTCCAGGAAGGAAAAGAATGCTTGGAAACTAATTGTGGTAGCAATTGTACAATAATGCTCGATGTGATTGAACTATGGAATGATATATTAACGCCCAGTTTTTTTAAAAAAACCTGCGTAAAGAGTACACAGGATTGTTTTGCATTTTTTCTAATAACTCTATTCAAATCTACAATCATCTTAAAATTAAAAAAAAATAAAAAGTAAAACGGCTAGCTGTATAAAGACATGCCTAAACAGAATGGAAAATAAATAAAATAATATTTTAAAAATAAATTTTCTTCCTACAGCTCAAATATTTAGACAATTATTTTCTTGTTTAAGTTTTTAACATCATATTCATTACATATAGATCTTTCTCTGTAAAAAATTCTAAATTAAAATGCATAGCACCTAAAGCATCGGTTCTCAACCTGTGGGTCTCAACCCCTTTGGGGGTCCAACGACCCTTTCACAGGGTCCAACGACCCGATTCATAACAATAGCAAAATTACGGTGATGAAGTGGCAACGAAAATAATTTTATGGTTAGGGGTCACCACAACATGAGGGACTGTATAAAAGGGTCGCGGCGTTAGGAAGGTTGAGAACCACTGAGTACTACAAGGTCCTGGGCAGGTGTCCAGGATGAGGTTTTCTTGCGGAGGGACGATGAGTATTAAGGGTTTCCGGTGCACATCGGGTTGGCTCTGCGTCAGAATGACTGGATGGCAGGCAACAGCAGTGATGGTACTAAATTTCTCCATTAGGGCTGGTCGAGAATCGAGATGCGGGACTTACAGACTGCCCATCTTCTCCTGGGTCCCCTTTGTCTCCTGGGCCGCCAGGGGGTCCAGCTGGTCCTCGATCGCCCACTCGCCCATGAGAGCCAGGATCCCCACGAAGACCCGGAGGTCCCTCCTTCCCAGGTTCGCCTAAAGGCCCAGCAGGTCCTAGAGCACCCTGGTGCAAGAGAGACAGAAACACCCCGTAGGGCGAAATAAAAGCCAAGTACGAGGAACTGAAGCAATGTCCCAGCATCTGCTGGAGATGCCTGTTAGGTAATAAGTCATTCTGTGTTCTTAAACAAAGCACAACAAAAACAGCTGTAGCTGAATTCCCCAGGAGAAAAGCTACATATCACTTTCAGACAGTTCCTTTCAGTTATTACTAAGAGTGATGACATTAACTGGAATTTCTTCTTCTTTACGGCTCTACTCCAACAATGAATATACAATATTTAATTGTCTGACCTTATCTTAGAATAAAAGAATGGCATTTATTAAAGAAAGTTTCAGAGGTGCTTTCTGATAAAAGTAATGCTCAAACATTGAGGATGAAAAGAATGTACAAATAAACTCCCCCCAAATATTGGATTATTAAGTATAAATTTGCTTTGACAAAATACCAGTATGAATAACTGGGAAACAATGATCAAAACAGGGAAATTAATAAAGTAAAAGAATAAATGAAGACTCAAATGCATATAGATGTATCTATATACATCGACAACTCTACCAACAGAGATAAGGCAGTGAGATCTAAAGTCACGCATATATATTTACAATTACGCCACTGTCAATGACGTGAATGACTGCTTTGACTCACAGTCGGTCCTGGAGGTCCAACTCTGCCAGCAGAACCAGGGAATCCTGTGGCCCCCTAGAAATACAATGGCATCTCAGCAATTTAAAGGGATACGAATTCGCTAGGTGCACTTGCCTGTAATCTATTTTCAATTATTTTTAAAATTTATGTATATATTTTTAAGATCATTTTATTGGGTGCCCTTACAACTCTCGTTACAATCCATACATCAATTGTCTCAGACATATTTGTACATATGTTGCCAACATTCTTTTCTAGACATTTACTTTCTATGGAGCCCTTGGGATCAGCTCCTCTTTTTCTACCCTTCCTCCCCTCTCCCCACCCTCGTGGCCCCTTGATAGATTATAGATTGTTATTATTTCATGTCTCACTCCGACCGCTGTCTCCCTTCCCCTCTGGTTTCTGCTGTTCTTCCCCCTGTGGTTCTGGGCCCTTCATGGTGTCCTGTAATCTATCTTCACAAGGAGACTTAGGCCTTTAGGGAACCTTCCATGTTAAGAGTGATTTTTCTTAATATAACATATACCTGTTTTCAGATTAATTTCATATTAACCAATAGGAAGAATACTACTTATTTCATACTATTTTAATTCATCCTGAACCTACCTACACAACCAGAGATAAAATCTTCTTAAAATTTTATACATACTTATTATACTAAAAGCTTTTACATGAATCATTTTGGGGATATGGATGCACATATACATTATTTATGGGACAGCTGATCTCCCAAGGTAACAAAACTGATTTTAATCCAGAAGGCTCAGTCAAGAGTTCTTTCCATCTTACTGTGCAATTGATGTGAGTAATATTTTATTGTTATAGCTCCATATTAAAAGTAACTTTAAAGTGGTCCACAAAACCCTGCATGTCTATGACTAGCTGTTCATCACCCCCAGAACTTCACATTAACTTACAGGTGGACCCTGAGTTCCTCGACCACCCTTTAGTCCAGGCACACCATTAGGACCCTAACGAGAAATAAAAACAAAAGCGCATTTCGGCAATTATGAACACTGGTTAATATAAGCTTTGGGTCAATAATCTCAAATGATGTCCTTTCACATCCCCGAACCACCCCCACTCCATACCCTTAACTCACATGAGGACCAGGGGATCCCGCCAGACCTTGTGGTCCAGGAGAACCGGCATCTCCCTTCTGTCCTGGCTCTCCCGGCTCACCTTTTACACCAGGTTGCCCATCAGGGCCCTATAGACAATTGTATGAATAAATAAGCAGTTAATTGTAACATTTATAGGCCAAGTATTCCATAATAACGATTGCTAGCCGATCATTTGGTCATTTATTTTAAATGCTCTTTGGTAATTAGGAGAAAATTCAACATTGAAGAGATCTTTGAACACAGCCTGAAAAATAAACCACTTGTTTATCATAACAAATCTGCAAAATCATCAATTCTGAAGCTAATCTATGAAAAAATAAATTGAAAATGAGAATATTGACTACAAAACTATACTTTCCAGAATCTTTAACATACCTCACACGTATAACAATGAGCATTAATCAAGTGCCGTGCTATCACAAGAAGACGGTTCGTTTACAAACTGAGGCTATATGGAAAATGATCTACCTGGGGTCCAGCAAAACCAACCGCTCCTGTGGGGCCGTTTTCACCACGAGAGCCCTGAGAAGACAAGGATGACTATAGCTTCCACACATACGAATGAGGAACAGTGCTTAAAAATACAAGTACACAACTTGACAAGGCTTAAAATATGCACATACAGAGAAATCTTACAGTGATTGTTTGAGGAAGATTCTCAAAGGTGATACAAAGATATGTGGCTCATAAACAAAATGCCCAAAGTCAAACGTTTCAAAGAGACTAATATACTGTAATAACATTTTTAAGTGTAATTAAAAGTTGATCACCAGGAAGCTATAAGTAGCCTACACAAGCAGGCCTGGTTTCATGTAAGCATCAAGACAAAGGATGGAAGGTTGTACTGTTCAGTCTTACACAAAATGATGTACAAAGACTGTCACTTACAGGATTTCCACGAGAGCCCGGTGGACCAACTAAACCCCGGGGACCAGGTTCACCCTGGAAAGCAGATTTTAGAAGGTTATTGTCCACAGCAACATAAAAACCCTAATCTAATTGTAGGATGTTGGGTTTATGTGTGGGGAAACAGTAGGGCGGGGGAAGGGCTCTATGATAATGCCGTACAAATATCATATTTTATGGGAGAAAAAAATTTATTTAAAAGCCAGAGCAATGTCTTATAACTTTGGGCCTACAAAATAACAACCCATGACCTTACCTTTTCTCCAGTGGGGCCTGCAGGACCGGGAGGGCCCAGAGGACCAGGCAGACCCTGTCAGTGAGCGGAACACAGACATAGTGAGGGCAAGAAGACACAGAAAGGCACTTCTCAAACCTCAGAATAAGAGACTATTTTGTTACAGGCTGGCTGTTTTGGTAAAAATACTATTTACGATGAACAATGTAATTTCTCTGTATTTGAGTTCTCAAGAGTTTCCATCCTGTTTAAAACAATACCATCAAATTTTCTTCACAATTTTTTAAATCCAAATCAATGCATCAATACATAAAACTGTCTTTGAACATTAGATCTAAATTCATGCTATTTTTAACAGTGCCCTAACTTCGGAGTATATTTTTTAATATCGATTTTGAAACAAAACAAGGACAGAATGAAAAGAAGCTTTTCTCCTTGGGTGTAGAAAGCTACTACATTCTTGAGTTATAACATAATTACATAACATTTCTCATTTCACTGAACGTGTGAAATGTGACCAAAGCATTAGTTCTCCACGTTCCTCTGCGATGAAAAGGTGCTCGTTACACTCAACGTGTAAAGAGCTGTCACATGGGGAACACACTTGTCATTGTGGGTCACAAGACTGAAATCTTTAAATGCTGAGCTATGTGGAAGTCTTTTCCAAAGAAATTTGTCTTACACTTGTGTATTGCCACTCCATACGCAGCCAGAATATTCTCTGGTTGTTTACTATCTAAATGTTTTACTGAAGACACTGGCTTTTCAATTTATATTTTTATAAGAACATTAGAAAATTACATGATAATGGTCTCTGAATATATATTAGAATAACAGTCTTTAATAATTTACCTAATTTACTTTCTTAAATAACATAATTAGATAGAAAGGTCACCTCATTGCTTATATTCACATTGTTTTATGTAGAGGAAATGTATTATTCATTTATATCCCTTTATACTAGTCTACACTAAGTTTTATAAACTGCTTCATTGTTAAAGCAATGTATTGCTCTCATTAAGTAAAAAACATTGTCTAAATGCTGACTCCATTATATTGCACTTTTAAAGTCAGATCATGGGAAAGTCAAGCATTTCACCTTTAATTAGCTTTTCAGAACACACAAAAAATAGGTAACGACAATTTAGACTAAAAACCTACTTAGACTTTATTCTACAATCGGAAGCTAACGTACGCAGTATCGTAACAGTGGTGTGATGAGCAGAGCCAATAGAGCAAGACTGAGCTCCTTTTGAGGTGGCACCTGCTATTGTCAGGGCCCAAAACATGACAATTCATGTCACACTGAAATAGGAATTGTTCATCAATTGTCAGGGAATATTCCAGGACATATTGTACATCTGAGTCACTGTAACTAAAAGTTAAAAAACTGGGATAATCACTCAGGCCTGAGAAGCTATTAACCTCCTAGTCAGATGGTCCTTGATATGGCAAATGTATTCTGTTTTTGAAAACCTAATGCTTATACATGGGAAGCGAGCCTGATCGTATCTAATAATAACAAAGCTAGCGAAATGGCTGGTTGTGAGGTGCATTAAGTAATGCTTTGAGGTCAGCCGTCTTTCTCTACTTTTCATATATTTAATCTCTTTATTGATGAAAACATTAATGATGATTGAGTGTGCAGTGATTTTCTCACCACTCACATCCAGAATACTGAGAAACATTTATCATAACACTGGCCCCTTTACAAAACCCTGTCTGCACCAGAATGAGGTCTGGGCCAGCTCATTAGAACAGCAGTTTTGTAGAAATAAAGTTTACCCTTAAACTAAAATGAAGATAGAGAAAGATATGAAGTGTTTCGACCCCTAAAAGCTCTGATCGCACAGTGCCATAAGGTGTCTTATCTTATTATCTCAAAAATGGCAACTTTTGGGCTAACTTTCATTCAGAGTAAGTGAAATTGGTGTCCACGCTCGATCAACAGGGAATCTGAAATTTCATCATTCTCCAAACCCTGACTGCCAAGGAAACATGATCAGCCTTACTTTTGAAAGTTCAGGCAAAATCACTCGCTAAAGACTGCTGATTTCTAGTCCACGAAGGGAAAGGTCTGTTTTTACTTACTCTTGCTCCATCGTTTCCTGCTGTGCCTTCAGCACCTTTTTCTCCTATGCCACCCTGGGAAAATACAGAAACATAATTTACCCACTTAGTGTATCTTTCCCACGCTTGCGAGGAAGCTTCCTGTGAGCAGGAATTTCTCACATCTCCGTCGGTATCCTCTTGAGTCTATAATGGTGCCTGCAGTGGGCAGTTTCTTAAGAACTACGTATTTCATCATTGAGTGAATTAATGACTTGTGACTCAAGATGACAGAGAGGAAAGCTTCTCTACACAATCTAAAAGAATGAACGGAAAGAACAAGACTTACTCTGTCACCTTTGGGCCCAGGAGTTCCTGCGATTCCTCTTTCTCCGGGCATTCCTTGAAGACCCGGTGGGCCTGTATCTCCCGGGGTCCCACTTGGGCCTGGGCTTCCCTAAAGTGAAGGAACAGTAAGGGCCCATCAACATATTAAGATTGCCCTACATGAAATTGCTGTCAGGGTCGTAAAACATGGTTGAATGTGAGGATTTTCATTGGTGGAACTCTGCTCATATTTTTAATTGGGGAAATTTATCTGGATTGCTATATTAAATAAAATAATAATTTGCCTGATGATTGTTGTATGTTGTTAAGCTTTTCCTCTGTAAAAATGATCACCAATTCAAATAAAAGTGATATATTTGCCTTCTTTTTTATCTCCTTTTGTCTGTACCACTATAGGGATACTAACAAAGTTAGAGGATATTGCATTCTGTCTAGAGAAATATTTAATTCTCAGTCTAATAAGTTAGTGGTAGTAAGCTTTAATGAAGGTCACTCAGTGATTATATTGCATAACTTATTCAATCACTTTGAACCCTGAAGATATAAGGGGTCTCATGTTATACAATTAGAAAAATTGCACTTCATTTGTGTATATAAAAGTTGTACATATAAACTTCTACCAACCACAAGATGACACACACACCCAAAAAGGATAATTAATTTTGCTTTACAATGCATAGGAGTTTTATATTTCAAAAACATAATTTTTATGGATTTTGTAAGCAGATTGCCTAAAAATGAAACAAGGAAAGTGGAGCATATAACTACGAATGCCTCTCAATAAAATAAAAGGTGTTAAAGTTCTCACCTCTTTATGGAGTCTACTATTTAAAATTTTTATAAATAAGCTTTAAGAATAGGTTCTGTTATGGAAATAAGCCATTATATGTTCTCCATCATAAGTCCCATGATAGGACAGAATCCTTTTTTTCAGCTGACCCTATTGCCAATAAATCTTTAGAGGCAATAATTTAGTGTTTGTTGAAGAACATTCCATAATCGAATTGTTTTGCAAAAACAAGATAAGTACATCCTCATATCATTGCGTGTTTACTAAGGAGCACTTTTGGAGCATGACAAAAGAAAGTACTTACTTTTGGACCATCAGGACCATGTCCTCCAGCCATTCCTTTCTCCCCAGGGAGTCCAGTTATCCCGGGTTCTCCTCTTTCCCCAGGATTTCCACGCTCTCCCTAACAGAAAATTAGAATATTAAGTAATCTCAGTTTTCAATCTACCAATGTATCAAAATGTCTCTGGCAATCTTCAAAGTGGCTTCTACCGAAAAAAAAATTGTTTTAGAAATAAGCTCAATCACTAGGTCTTAGTTTCCGAATTTAATGATAAGAAAAAAAATTTGAAGAAAAGATATACTAACTTCACAAGACAAAATATTTATCACAAATATCTCATTATTTTGTGTTCAGTAGTTTTTATCTTTGTCTTTTACTCTTGTGCACACAATCCTGCAATAACAGTAACTTAAAGCAACATCTACAAGTACATATAAAATAGTAGACATGCAAGCCGAACAGCGGTTGGGATGGGAATGGGAATATACCTACAATTAGCTGTAGGATTGGCAGAGGGAATTAATACACATGAATTTAAATTGCAGTAAACATATGCAAGGGTATTGTAGAGCAAAGTTCTGATATCTTCTTAGCTATAAGCAAATACCTTGAGGGAATTACTCACTGGACATGAGGCTTTAAAACCATGGTCTCAGATGACAACTAGGTAAACTGGCACAACGTAGTCCACCAAGCCAGTAGTCTACATCCTACTGGATACGTAAACGCTTGTGAGCAACCATATAAGATGCAAGTTTCTCTCTCTGCCTCTTTAGAGCAAAGAAAAGTGAAGACTCAAGGAGGCCATTTGTCTGAAGAACTAATGGGACATGTACCTGGCTCCACTACCCAGAAACAAGAAGAACTAGATGGTGCCTAACTGTCACTACAGACCACTCCAGTATCACAATAGAAAGTCCTGCATAGAGAGACAGAGAAAGAAAGTAGAACAAAGTTCAAAATTGTTAAAAACAAACAAACAAACAAACAAACCAGATTTACTGATACAATACCAGGGTATTTCAGAAAGCTCAGGGAATGATGGAATTGGACAATAATGCAAATTCCCACTATAGTATACACCATGAGACTGCGTGCCCTTAGACACTCCAAGCCTAGTACCAAACCGATCTCAGGGATCAACTTTCAGCCAAACCACACACAGGCTCATACAGTGAAGAATGGCAACTCGGAGGCATGTCCTCCTAAATACCAGACGGCATAGGAGTTTTATATTTCATAACTTATTCAATCAGACGGCAGCATTTACCCTTAAAGAAAACTCAAACGGCAGGGAGGGGCAGGAAAGAATGGCAAATCGAAAGGAGGCACCCAGGAAGGAAAAGTGTGGTCACACTGGGAAGACTGCACCCAGCGCCAAATCCGCATGAAGTGCTGACTAGCAAAAGAACAGGCTTTTTGCTAGCATGCACACAAACTACAATTTAGAAATATTTTTTATCTAGTAAAAGAACTTATGCTTAAAATAAAACTCGCTGGAAGGTAAAAGCACATTTTTCAAGTGCTACCAGCAGCAAAGCAGTCAGAGTGGAGACAATACTTACTCTAGGTCCTAAGGGGCCAACTGCTCCCGCGTCTCCAGGAACGCCCTGAAAATACATATGTTCAATGATTGAAAGAACATCTTTGAAGCAGCTCTTGTGTATTTATTGGAAAATAGTCCAAAAATACACTTCACTGCTAGTAATACACCATTGGAATAAATACATTAAGTGCATCGATTTACTGCACTAAATAAGCCCCTATTGTTGAAGACAATTATGCATGCTTTTGTCAACAACAGGATACCTCTTACAGCTAATGAAAATTGTATTTCTAGACATATATTTTGTTATGCTTGAATGTTTTATTTTTGACACGGAGAACCTGTGAAATATTATCTCACAAAGACAGTCCGCTAGTTTTTCAGAGGCAACAAAATACTTGCTAATGGTTGTTCATTCCTTAACAGAACAAGAAAATATTTTAATGAGGAAAGATGTTATAATGATCCCCTAAATAAGAGTTGATCTTTTAATAGGGCCAATTCACTTCCTTTCCATTGTTTTTTGAGCACATCATATAGATAGAACACACGGCTAGAAATTGTCGATTTAAACTAGTACAGTCAAGACTACAATAAAAGCTTTAATTTGGCCTTAACTATGGAAACCTGTCTTATCAAATCTCTTCTCTCTGACAATGATAATAACACTAGCAAGTTGGCCTTTCCATCTATCCCTTAAATTTTCTCTCTTCATTATAACGTGATAGTGGTTAAAACCTAAATCTATTCCACATATTTCCTACTTAAAATTCCTTCATCTGCTTCCTTACTGTAATTCTGTAGAAGAAATTTTATACAAATTAAGACATTCCATCATCTGTTCCATGACTCATCCATCCAGTCTCCTCTCTTTTGAACATATGGTCCACATTCCTGATCTACAGATATGCAGAATTACGATCGTTGCCTTCAATTTGTTGGCAATCCTTTGGACATTTGCAGCTGTTGGTTCCACGCCTTTTCTTCCTTCCTTTATAACACTACCATTTATCCTTCATATTTCATGAGCGCTATCACCTTTCCTAGGAAAATTTCTTAAGCTCCAAGTCTATATTAAGTGCATCTTACATGTTTTCATAAACAATAGTGCCTCCCCTACGATATTACACATTACTATTGTCATTGCTTTATCATAGTCTCTATCACTCACTGTTCTGTAACCTAAGGGCAAGGACCATATCTCTTTTATTCAGTTGGGGAAAGTCAGAGCCTAGTAGAACCATGCATTCAGAATTCTCAGCACATACATGTTGAATGCAAGATGAATAAACGTACCACTTGAAGAAAAATAAACTAAATAAATCTATATGCCAGTACAATAACAGTTGGAAATGGTTAATATCTGTTCATAAAAATTTATAAAACCTCCAATAAAATTATATAATTAGGGTAAAATATTTCAAGGAGTGAAGAACATAATTCTGGGAAACTAAGAACTAGGATTCAATCTATATTCCTAGTAGCCAAGGTTGCACATCGGGTCCCTCTGAGTCAGGGCTGATTCAACTCACCTAACAGCAAGTCTGTTTAAGGGTTAAAAGAAAATAAATATGTGCAAAGCAAATGAATATCCAATCTTATACGTAAGTGTTATTGTAAGCCAGACATTGTTAACATTGCAAATTTTATTTGAAAGCTTGCCTGATCTCCTGGCTTTCCACCTTCCCCAGGAGGGCCTGGAGGACCAGGAAGTCCCTAAAACAAAATTAAGGAAATAAAATGATTGGTCTGTGAAACTTTCCTAGGTCACCAATATTAACAGTTGACCTCTTACAATTCATAAAGCCTCCAAGATGATGTTTGCATACAAAAGAAATTGCTCAGGCACAGGTTAAGTCAGATCAGAATGAAAGAACTACATGACACATAACACATTTTCACTTTCACACCAATTAGCAAAATAATAAAAACATTTAACAGACTCCTTATACTTTTTATTTTTAATTTTTATGCAGACTCCTTATACTTATAGAGTTTTATATTTCTCAAAGCACTACTTTGGGGTGCTAAAATATTACTGAATTCAGTCATGAAAGGTTTTCTTTTCCAAATTATGATTACATATGTTATTCAATAATCTACCATGTTTATATACATAGACAGCCCTAAAATTCAATAATAATTTTTAGATACTACCAATAAAATTAGAAACATCTTTAAAATAGCTTACTAAACTTTGTTGATATATCAAGAACTTTTTATCCTTTTTCATTTTTAATAGTTTTGGGTTTGGCCAGTTTTTCTAATAAGAGTCTGTTCCTCCTCTTTGAACAAAAATGTCTTATTTTATACCAATGTTTATCTTATTCCTCAAAAGGGAGAAGTTTTACTAATTGTAGAATTTTACATCATCCAATATAAATTTTTATAGTTTTAAAATGCATTTAAGTGAATGGAAGCAGAAATAGCAAGATGAGTGAGTGCGTACCTGAAAACCGGTGGGGCCAGGAGGGCCCTGTTCTCCTCTTTCCCCGGCCAGACCCTGAGTCAGGAATAAAGAAAGTCAGCAGTTCACCCAGACTGTCAGACCTGCCTCCCACTGGGTTTACAACCACATTGATATTTCTTTGAATTTCCTTGTCGCAAATGTTTTCAGTTTAACGATATAATAAACCAAGATTAAAAGTCATATAACAGTGATGTTTGAAATCCTTTCTACTAAGATGTTTTTTTCCAAAGCCAGTGAAATGACCGATGGTATGTATTTCTTTGGGGATCCATTTTGTAGAATTAACTATACAATTAAAGAAAGGGTGTACAAAATTGAGTATAGGAAAAATCCATTATTTTCTCATATTTAATCTGAGAGAATAGTATTCCCCCTGTAGTATATTTCTAAGTGCCATACAATGTATTGCTCAAGCCTTCAACATTGACATATCCAAGGAAAGAGGAGTAAACATTTTAGAAATCTATTTAAATTGTCCTGTGAAAAAGCAAATACACACTCCAAATACCCCACGTGAACAACATTATGAGACCCTTGGACAAAAGCAGAAACGAGAGGAAAATAGGCTCCTTTTCACCAATCCAAATAAAAGCCTTTCAATAGTTTCCTATAAGATATATAATTAGAAGAAGTTGGATTATAATCAACTGTTTAAAATAAGATACATTATGCAATGTATTGGTCAAACACTATTTTCTTTAGCGTATATATTCTTCAACCATGATTCATAAAGACAAAGACTTTGTCTTCAGAGTCTTGAAAATGTTTAAAGTGAAAAAGCAATCATCATATTGATAAAGGCAGAAGATGCCATAGCAAAAACCTTGTGCTATTTTGTACTTTCTATTTTTCCACTTCTCCTGAGACTTATTCTAGAACAAACATTACGAGGTAGGACAGACATCAAGGAAAATTGCAATGTGAGTGTATTCTTATTAAAATATCACGCACCGGAGGACCCACGGGGCCAGAAGGACCAACTTCACCATCTTTTCCAGGCGCTCCCTGGATCATAAAAGATAATCTGTTAAGTGAGACATTTAAATCTAAAGAGTTTCTATAAACTATATAAACTTTATATAAACTATAAACTAAAGAGTTCATAATAGATATAATTAAAATTATACTACACAGAGAGTTATAAATTATATATTACCTATTTACAATATAGTTAACATATATAGTTTTAGTTATAGTTCAGTTTTAGTTGTTATATATGCACACAGATCCTTAATATACAAACACACATACTAGTATGTGTATGATGTATGTGTGTATGAAACTCAGTCATTGAGTCGATTCCAATTCCTAGCAACCTTATAGGACAGAGTAGAACTGCCTCTGTGAGTTTCAGTGACTCCATCTCTCAGAGTAGACCTGCCTCTGTGAGTTTCAGTGACTCCATCTCTCAGAGTAGAAC